TCCGTTCTACGACATGGCGTGCTACATGTTTCTCCGCAGCCTGTCTTCATCTTGATTCTTCGAGCACTCTCGCCCGCTTCGGCCCACCCGTCGTACTTTTCTCGACGGTCCTTGGCATGCCTCGTCAAACCGGTCCACGTAAGCCCACGGCCAAGCAGCTGCTGAAGCAGAAGCAGAAGGACGAGAAAACGCGGAAAAAGAACGAGCAGACGTTCGCCAACGCCGTGCAAAACTCGAAGAGCACCATTCTCGATGTGGACATGCGGTACGTCATGGACACCTTGCGGGACAACCCTTCGTGGATCAGCCCACTCGCCGGTCTCATTCGTTCAGGCTCACTCAACGGACTCCTGAAAGAGGTGGCCGCGAAGGACGAAGTCGGCGGGCTGAAGTGGAAGGCCCAAGGCAAGTGTAGCAAGTGGGGACAGCTTCCGCTGGAGATGTGTCTCCTGATGCTCAGGACATCAGGGGTGGAGCTCTCCGAGCGGGCCTCGAAGGAGCAGGACGTTGTTCGGACTTTATTCGCCGGACACTTCTGGGTCGCTGAGTCTGCACCCTTGCCAACTCGTTCGGACCTCCGCTATCAGAGCACGCTGGTCAAGCTGGCGAAAGCTCGGCTGGAACACGCCGTGCATCGCAACTGGGCTGGTGCCCTCAACGCGGAGGCCCCGCTGGACCACACCACGAACCGGCTGAAAATGTGGTCGCTCAATGGAAACACGCTGGTTTGTCATGTTTTTTCGGTGGACGAGGACGAGAATCTCTCGAAGGACTGGAAACCCGGCCAAGAACTTGAACATGAACTTCCGAAATTACCCGACGGCCAGGACTGGAAGCTGAGTGATGCACATTCACCCGATTGTACCGTGTGCGATGGACAAGTTCACTCCATGTTCGATTTCGACTGCGCCAGCTTCTTCCCGATGTTGCCGGACTTCAAGGAGAAATGGAACTATGATCTTCCAGCGGACACAGACACAATGGCCATGGACGGCGGTCTCGGCGGGTCATCGGTTGCAGCGACGGGTGCATGATTCCTCGTTGTACATATCATGGTCGTCCTGACGTATGGGTTTTTTTCGTCGTTGTGGCCTTAGGTACACTCGACGAGCATGTGTAGTTTCCCATAATTTCGCCGTACAGAGCGAACTCCATGGGCATGCTCAGAGTGCATTGGACAACACGACGTGCTATTTAATCTAGTTTCTGGGGCCGTGAAGCCGGCAGCATTATCATTGCGGGAACCGTGAAAAGGTCGCCGTGGTTGCTGCTCCGTTTGAAGACAGGTGTCGATGCCTTGTTTCATGTGTGCGACCATTCTTGTTCGGAAGCAGGACCACGCTGAGTTGTGCTTTAAATGTAGAAGAGAATCGGAGTTGCAGCCCTTGTTGTCCATTGCATGTTTGTTCCAGTGGCAATGACTGGCAATGTGGCTGATCAGTTGCCACTTGAGCGGTGAAAGTAGAAAGAACTTGCACAGACTGCACTCAATTATTGTTTGTATCATGTATTAGTCAGAGCCGAAACGACATCACATCATTTGATATTTCAATTGCAACAAGAGTTCTGAGCTTGCCCGCGTTAGACCCGCTGAGAAAGCATGGACACAAAGGACACTGGCCCTTCCCGCGGTTCTGCTTCTGCTGCTGATGAAACAAACGGATTTCGGAGTGGTGATCGTCGGACTTTAGCATTTTCGGTTCCTTGTGGGTCAGAAGGACTTTTGAAGGGCGAGTGTTACCTCTACGATGAGCCAAAGACGAAGTTCACCAAGGGACGCTACTTTTGGCACATGCGTTGGATTGTGGAGTTCCTCGGCGGTCACCACTCTCGAAATTTTCTCTCCGGGAGTCTTTCCACGTTCAAGAACAAGCTGTTCGAGATTGTTTGGCCACGTTGGACAGGCTCGGAAGAGGAACTGATGCAGGAGAGCTCGTTACACTTCGGTACCAGTTCATTTTCTGATATTCAGCTCCGCTCCTGCAGGAAACGAAAGACGACCTCGCAGGACCCTGGCACGGAGGAGACAAACATGGACCTGGACACAGACACGGACAAACAGCTTCCCGGCGATGAAGAAGTCGAGAAGCAATCTGGGAGCACACGTGTTTCGGAGTTTTCCACGTCGACATTCGCGACCGTTCTCCTTCTTTTCCACTGGCAACAGGGCATGCGTAAGGATGCCAAATGGAGAAAGCACAAAGACACTGTGGTCAAACTCGCCGGAGATGTGTTGCAAGCCTTCGCCTCGTTGTTCCTGGTGGACCACACGTCGGTGTTTACGTGGGAGGAGCAAACAACTACACTTGTGTTCCAACACGGTAGTCTGGATGTGAAGCAGCTGCACAAGCAATGTCCAGTTCTACAGAGTACGATATCAACATCACGACCTAGATTCCTTCAGGTCCTAGAAGATGTTGCGTTGGACTGCTCCAAAAGGACAATCTCGCAAAAACGACGGGCAGCTGCCCTCAGGCTGCGGTGCTTCTTGTTGGAGACATTGACAGCAGCCGTGGAAACGTCGGAGAGTACACACTCGTGTTGGACGTCGTTGAATGTGAAGCAGCTTCTGCAACTGAGGAGATTGTGTCTTTGCATTCATATTTTGTTTTGTTCTGTTCTGGGGGTGGGTTCCTGCAATAGCCTAACATTACTTGATTATTGTAAATATACGAGTTTTTCGTTTGTCAGGAGTGCCGCTGGGTATCGTCGTTCTTCACATGTCTTTAAAGAATCGATGACTGCTACCTCCAGTGCCACACAGCGGACATTGGTTTCCACTTTGGAAGGGCACACGTTCACCGTGGAGGACACACCCACGCAGGACGCCAAGAACGCGAAGAAAAAGACTTCCATGGACGCACACCGGCTCACACGCATGGAGAGGTACGCATACCTGCAGGACGGCAAGCAGCAGTTCTTTTCGACGGACATACTGTGTGTCGTTGCAGATGCACTACACGTGGGCAGCGAGGATTGGCTTAACATCATGGTGTACAATCACACGAAGGGCAAGGTCTGGATTTGCCCGCCGCAGGCGGGTTTTTTTGTGTAGGAAGAACGAGCTAAGTTTGTGAGGTTCAGCACCCTGGGAAGTACGCCTAGCCTGACGCTTTCGGGGGCCAAAAACAGGCCGCGCCAAGCACATTTTCAGAACAAAAAGAGGTACGCCTATCCCCGCCATACGCCTATCCCCGCCTCGGTCGGGTTTGCTGGTGGTCCTTCCTCATTAACTTTATATAAACCCTGGGGTACGCGCATCCCTGCCTGTCTCCGGTTTTTGGGAAGTGACCTGGAAAAGCTCTTGGCCGCCTTCTACTGTTAATCAAGCCAGGCAAGGTACGCCCAGCCTTGCCTAAGTTGACCCGGCAGCCCTCGGGACCCGTTTGGGACAGTTTTGGCTGGTTTTGGCCCTTGTCCCGGCCCAGGGGGTACGCCTATCCCCGCCTTGTTTTTGGCACGCCCACGAACCATAGTTACAAGCGAACAACAATCATTCCCAAGCAATCATCATAAACTTGGCATTAGAAGCACGGTTTTATATGTGCATAACTTACACATGTCTTAGACTTTGACAGGTGCAGGACCACTCGTCGTGCTTAACGGCCGAAGAATGGACCAATATGTGGAGCAGAGCATCGCAGAAGTTTCTGGACGGTGACAAAACTCGTGGTTCTGCTCATGAGGGCACAGAAGAACGGGTGTCAACGCTGCAGTGGATGCAGGACATCAACCATGGACTGAAACCCTTGGGATGGTCATTCGGACGATGTCAACTCAGAGCACATGGACAGCCGTTTCGTGGCTCTGAGGACAGTACACGCGGTTCCCGGGCGCCCATCATCATTTTGTGTACAGACCAGGAGTCCACGCAACTCGCCGCAGTCGCTTTCTTGAGGAACAAGAAGAACCTGTGGGTGGAACACGTGTCGGGCCCAGCACATCGGTCTCACAACGACGTGGCCTTGGCCATGTCTGGAGCAGGACTTCTCAAATTTGCACAGTGGTGCATCTCGTTGTACAACATCAGATACGGACCGTGGCAGAAGGGCACATGGTCCAAGAAGATCCAGCAGACGGCCCAACACATGAAGGACAGCATGGACCCGTCGGACCCAGTTTTGCTCATGTTCTTCGAAGACATATTGCTGGACGCTGGTCTCCCACTGGACAATAACACGGAGGAGACGCGTAGGGCATGGCTGCAGACCTTGCCCGAATTGGACTGCATCCGCACAAAGGGCACCAAGGCCAGCAAGAGTCGTTTCAATTCGTTAACAACAGCTCATGCTGCGTTGGACAAAGAATGGTCCGTCCTGGCACTTGTTTTAACGGTGTGTTGTTTGGAACACAAGTGGACAGTTTCCGCAAAGGACCTTTTCACGCAGGACAGCAACCAGGCTCGTGCCTCCTTAACACACGGTGGAAGCAAGTCCTCTGCTGTGAAGGAGGCAAAGGACTCCATGAACGAAGCACGGCAGGGCAATGCGAACAGTCTCCACACGATGACGAAGTTCATCATCCTGCCGGACAACAAGACGACCGCCAGATTGGTTTTCCTCGTGCTACAACCCGAGCAGCTTCGCTGTTCCAGGATGCTGGAGGAGCTTCGTTCCAGTGCATCCACGTTGGCGTATTATTCGGAGTGGTCACATTGGAGCTGGATGACCACTGCAAAGGAGCACCTGCAGACCTGGTCGAACTTGGACAAGCTAGCACGCCTTGGACTGGACCTTGCACTTTCACGTGCACGCCCGCCGGACGAAGAGGAGTTGGTCTGGCAGGACACTCTAGCCCTGCAAATGACGAGGCTGACACATCAGATCTTGCGTTTGCGTGCCGGCGCACAGCTCTACCACACATGCGGTTTCGGTGCTACTGCAGGACTTGTCCACAGTGACCCAGGGTTTCGTCGTTCCAGTTTGGACTACTTCAAAGAGATGGAGGAGTGCATCAAAGACACACAGAGGAGTGGTTCCCTCAGGGCCAAGCAACTACTCGCAGGTCACTTTTCCCATGGACAAATCAGTCAGTACCTTCTCGCAGAACTGCAGAGCACTCGGTTTGACAACCTTACAGAGGAAATCGATCACGTTCTCCGAAGTATTTGGTCTGGGCTCTTGAACACGAAGATCATCGAGGACTGCAACAAAGTTCAACGCGAAGCTGAACAACGACATGGCACAGCAAAGGACTTAGGACACTTGGATGGTTGGAAATCTGTGAGCACGTCGGGCTTGGTCAAGATGTACAAACGCGAGGAGGCAATCACCAACCAGCTGCACCACACGCCGGCCGACTTTAACTTGACGAGCCTCTTCAGCAAGACGACGGCCAACAATCTCGCAAAGCGTTCACGTCGTTCCACGAAATCTGCGAGTGCAGAGATGACCCCGGCGGAGATCCAGGAGGCACAGCTCCTGGCAGACGTCACGAAGCGCAGGGACTGGGCGTCGCACAACCACTCGGAGGAGCAGGAGGTTCTCGCAGCATATTCCTTGTTGAGGAAGGCATGGCGAGCCAAAACTTGGCAGTTGTGCGAAGAAGGCTGGTGCTCTGGACTCCTACCCGAAGGACACGCTGTACTCGCCGGTGAATCCCCTTTGTTCATCGTTCGGAGCTATCGTGTGGCCTGTTTGGCATGGCCTGGCAAGATTGTGCACGACGCCGGGTCTGATTTCTTCGAGTTCGACATGACCGTTTCTTCTTTGTATTGGATGCACAGCACATCCGTGGACACGGTTGTTTTGAAACTGCAAGCTGCTTCACCTTTACGTGTCCTGGCCATGATTTGCGAAAGTATGCTAGTGACACAGTGTTAAACATCTTGCCAGGAACAGTAACACAGTTAGTGCAGTGCAGTTAATGTACAGGAACAGCCGTCACGCACACGCGACGTGCAAGGCTCGAGACCAGCGGACACAGTGACCCACAAGGAAAAGTGACCGCTTCAGTTTGAGAGTAGGAAGCTTAGTGAAGCCCGTTCTGTAACATGGTAGCGGAGCTGCCTCCAGGAACCTCCTTGGCAGCGATGATGCTACTCGTAGCCATAGGAACCATGATGCTCGGCGCCATGGCAGTTTGCCTCGTTGCCGGATGGAAGCAGATGCGCGCGAATGAGCAGATTACCAAGAAGACAGAGACAGTGCTCAACATGCCCACGCTCAGGATCGCAGTCCGTTCAGGAACAAAGTACCACCGCAGAGGTTGTGGACACCTTCGTAACCACAACGTGACAGCAGGAAACGCGCGAGACTTTGACGATTGCAGCGATTGCTACCCCGACCGAGTGTTGGTGGAAGAGAAAGAGAAAAGGAACATGAAGTGCTACGGTTTGGCAGCATGCATGGTGCTGCTGGTTGGTTTCGCACTGGGAAGCCTCGCAACTTTGTGCTGGATGATCTTGGTCCCAGGAGCAGGAAGTATGGCGGTGAGACCGTGGCAGGCCCTTGGCAACAAAGTGGAGACCAAGGAAGAACTTGCCCTTGGAGACGCCTTATCCTCCAAGGAAGCGAGCAGTGGGAGAAAGGAACTACCGTACGTTGAGAGTGACGAGAGCGAGCTCATGGCAGTGTGGTCGAGCAGAAGGAAGCCCAATACGCACCCCAATACGCACCGGAACCGCTACAGGAACTATGACGTGTACGGCGAGTACTACCAGCAAGGCTACAACGAGTGCAGCGTGTGAACCCCGACGGCACCAACGTGAACACGATCAGGAACACGAACGCGTACACGATTAAGGACTATGTGGAGATAGGAAAAGTCATGGTACCGTACGCTTTGTTGTGCGCGAACCAAGTGATGAACGAGCTCTACAGCGTCGTTAGCGTGACCGGCGAGTACTACACGGAAGAGAACAGGAACGGCGACCAGAACACCGAGAAACAGGAGAGTGAGAGCCTTGAGTCAGGCTACGCCCCTAGGTACCTAGTAAAACAACAGCGAGAAGTACTGAGGAAAGTTGTACAGGAACATGTTCACAGTTTCGTAGAAAAGCTAGCAATCGTAGGAAAGAAGTTTCACGACGTCGTGCATGTGATATGTCAGGAAGTCATTTCCAACAGAGTTGTATTTCAAGGAATTCGCATAGCAGTGTTCTTAGGAACCCCAATGGGACTGATTACTTGGATCACCCTGTCGTACTATTCTAGTTTGTTTTTCGCAAGAGCAAGCAACCGCTCGAAGCACCAAAGGAAGACAAGAGGAGAAAGGAGAGCACAAGCAGTGAGCAGGAAACAGTGCAAGTCACTACTTTTAGCAGCACTAGTGTACAGCAACCTTGAAGCAGCAAAAGGAATGGAGGATGCATTGAAGGCACTTGCCGAGATCAATGCACAGACCTTACAAGGAATACAGAAACTAGCAGAGGAGATCAGGAACTCAGCAGCTTCAGGAAGTCAAAGAGAAGCAGGACTCACACAAGCATTCCAGGAAACCCTGACAGCAGTTCAGGAACAACAGAAGACAGCACAAACAGCGTTGGCAGACGCCCACACGAACGCAGCAACGACACTTGAGGAGATAGGAGCATCTCTGGAGAAAGCAGTAAAGGAACAAAGAAAGCCTGGAGAAGTGGAGTTGCACAAGCTGATTAAAAGCCCCGAAGCATTTTCCCCAGGAACATGGCAAGAAGAGAAGAGTGGAGGGACAGAGTTCAGGAACAGGATGCGGATCTGGCTTGGAGCAGTGGATTCCAACATGGTGAAGATCATGGACATCGCAGAAAGGAACCTAAAAGATGATAAACAAGTGAAGATGGCTGAGATGTCTGCAGAAGCAAAGGAAACAAGCCGACGCCTGTACAGTGTTCTTTGTGCGTACACTAAAGGAAGGCCGTACCGAGTTGTAAAGCATGTAGCTGAGGAAAACGGTATGGAAGCTTACCGTATGCTACTCAAGGAATATCAACCAACGAATCGTGCGAGATCGTTGGAGTTGTTTCACAACATTCGCAACTACAAATTTGCTCACAACAAAGGAATTGCTGAGAATATCCTCGAATATGAGGAACACATCGAGAAGTACGAGAAGGCGACTGGAGAAAAGGTACAGGAGAATTTAAAAGTATCTACGCTTATCCAAGGTATGAAACCTGACGTGAAAAGGCACTTGTTGCTCAACATGGATGAGAAGACACAGTACAATACTCTTCGTCAGTACCTTGTGAACTATGAGTCAACCGAGCGTTGGACTAACTCTTTAGCAGCACAGCAAGGAACACCTCACCGAACCACAACAGATTTGATCGACAAAGGTGATGACCATGGTGGTCTTGCAGCAATGGATATCAACCAAGCATGGTACAAAGGAAGGAAAGGCTATGGCAAAGGTTATGTTCACCATAAAGGCAAAGGTAAAGGAAAAGGCAAGAAAGGTGGAAAGGACTTCGGAAAAGGTTTCGGCTTTGAAAGCAAAGGCAAAGGTAAAGGTAAAGGTTTCGGAGGTTTTGGCAAAGGCAGAGGTCGAGGCAACTGGAAAGGCCGAGGTAGAGGTTTCAGAGGTTACAAAGGAAAAGGCAAAGGTCGAGGAAGAGGTTTCTTCAGACACAAAGGAAAAGGTAAAGGAAAAGCCCAAGCAGCTACAGGAGTGTGTCACTACTGTCATAAGTATGGACATTTCGAAGCACAGTGTAGGCAGAAGATGCGTGACATGGGTTATCAGGCAAGGAACGTTGACCTTGAAAACCAGAGCGAGCAAGCTAGCACTACAGGTACTTCGACTCAGGCCCCTTCGTCAGCCAACAAGACCTCAACAAGCCAAAGCCAAGCAAGCCAAGGAACCCAAAGACCAGTGATTAGGATGGTCTCCATGTACCACATGGGAGACGAGCCCACAAGCTTTCCGGAGGAATTCGAGATGAGTGAGAACTCTGACGAGATAGAGATTGAGTACTTCGGAAGAGTTTTGCGGGTTGTTGGTGAAGAAGTTCAGGAAGAGAGAAGTGAGACAGAAGAGTTTTGGATTGGTGATGAAGATGATGAGTTTCAGGACTGTGATGAGGTGAGTGATGATGCATGGTTGCAATGGCACCTAGAAGGAACTCTGATAGGAACTCAGGACCGTGGATACTACTTTGCGTGTCCCAATGGATGTCATGAAACACCGTGGCACCCAGACATGCAGGAATGTGAGAACGGATGTCACCATCCTCCTAGAAGGAACAGAGTAGAGAGAACAGCACCCTCAAGGACCATTACCAGGTTTGCGCGTGCAGCGAGGAACACGAGAACTCGAGAGATCGAGGTTGTGCTGGATTCAGGAGCCGACATTTCGTTGGCACCAATGTGGATGAAGAAGTACGGAAGGAAAGCACCCAACACTACCAAGGTAGTTTTGCGAGATGCGAAAGGATCCCGAATTAAGGTTTCAGACCAAAGGATTATTGAAGTTGAGTTTCGGGATATTCAAGGAAACATTGTGAAGGTTGAAGAAGTGTTCTTGATTTCATCGGTTGTGCACCCTCTTTTGGCAGTAGGTAAACTGTTGAAGAAAGGCTGGGAGTTCAGAGATGGAACAGCAACAGGCACTTTCCTAACAGAAGGAACAACCAAGATTGCAGTGAACTACAACAACAACTCACTTACAACAAAAGACTTTGTGAGAGCAGTCAACTGGGAAGCAGAAGCAAAGCCTATCCCTATGTACTTGTGCGAGAACTTGAAGGAACTCATTGAAGAACAGCGTGTTGGTTGGACCAACTGGCGAGACCCTTACCAAGTCCACTTCAGCCTAGGAACCTCAGAACACGTTGATACTTACTTGATGTTTCCACCAGGAAAGTTCGCATATCGAGCAGTGCTTATTGAGGATGATGATCAGTGGTATTTGTTGCATCACAGCATTATGTTTGAGGAACTTGAAGAACCGTTTGGAACAATCTTTGATGGCAGTAAGGAGTACCGCACGCTTACACTAGTATCGCTCAAGGAATTTCCGCTGAACCTCATAGGCACCCCCAAGGAAGATGAGGATCGAAAGATGTTTGAAGAGTACACTGAGGATGCATGGTCAATCAGCATGGATGGCACTACACTCACGAGGTACCACAACTCGTTGAGGAAGACTTTGTTCAATCCTCGAGATACCAATGACATTCCAGTGGACATAGGAAACCTCAAACCAGACAGGTACACGTATGGAGAAGAACCGATCAACAAGGATTTCTTTGAGGATGACAAGTTCTGGACTTTGTATGAGCCTCACAGAGACCCAGAACCACTAGGAGGTTTATCCTGGACAGGACGCAGTGTATTCGAACTCATCGAACCAGTGAACCCCAAGGCCAGAAGACCAAAACAGAAGGTTCACCAACTGGACACGATTCCAGAACAGGAAGAAGAACAGGAAGAGACCTCAGAGGCCCAAGCACCAGCGCACAGGCACGAACTTGCAGGAGAACTGTCGTTTACGTTCAATGGTCATGAGTACAACCAGCAGAACAGTCTCAAGGCCCTGAGAGAACTGTGCAAGGAACTAGGAGTTTCAAAAGCTGGATCTAAGCAAGAGATCCTCAGAAGGCTCAGTAGATCCATCATGGAAGCAGAAAGACACATGGAACTTGTTTCAGGCCAGAAGAAGTACAAGGAGTTTCTAGAAGCTGAACCTCTGAAGGTACCCAAACAGCAAAAGCCGGAGGAAGTTGCAGTGCATAATCTCACACACTTACCTTATGCATCTTGGTGTCCGACGTGTGTAGCATGCAAAGGAAAAGAGTCTCCACACCTTCGTGAGAACCCAGAGAAGGAAAGATCTTCGA